TCGACTACATGGACGACGGCACCCCGATCCAGCTCAAGGTGACAATCGACCCCACCACCGGCGGCGCCGTCTTCGACTTCAATGGCACCGGCCCCGAGGCCTACGGCAACTGGAACGCGCCCATCGCAATCTGCAACTCGTCCATCATCTTCGCCCTGCGCTGCATGGTCGACGCCGAGATCCCGCTCAACCAGGGCGCCATCCGCCCCATTGACGTGCAGGTCCCCGAGGCATCTCTCCTCAAGCCGACAGAGTACGCCGCCGTGTGCGCCGGCAACGTCCTGACCTCGCAGCGTGTGGTCGACGTAATCTTCAAGGCCTTTGGCGCGGCGGCCGCCAGCCAGGGGTGCATGAACAACCTCACCTTCGGCACGGACGGCCCGGAGACCGGATTCGGCTACTACGAGACCATCTGCGGCGGTGCCGGCGGCGGACCGACGTGGGACGGCGTCAGCGGCGTGCACACCAACATGACCAACACGCGCATCACGGACCCGGAGTCGCTCGAGAGGCGGTACCCGGTCATCCTCCGGCAATTCTGCCTGCGCGAGGGCAGCGGCGGGAAAGGAGCGTACACGGGAGGCGACGGCATCATCCGAGACATTGAGTTCAACATCCCGATCAAGGTCAGCATCCTCAGCGAGCGGAGAGCGTTTGCGCCGTACGGCATGGCGGGCGGCGAGGACGGGCAGCGGGGCCGCAACGTGTGGGTTAAGAAGAGCGGGCGCGTCGTCAACCTCGGCGGGAAGAACACGGCGAGGATGGAGGCGGGCGACCGCATCGTCATCATGTCGCCTGGCGGTGGCGGCTATGGAAGACCCGAGGATAGGGTTGAAGGGGAGGCGAAGCCGGCGGCTGCGTTTGTGGGTGTTGCGAATGGTACGGTTGATATGATTCAGAGCATGGGAGAGTCTGCATAGAGAGCATATTGGGCGGCGTTGGGTTTATGATTTTATGTAATATCTGGGATGGTCTTCTTTACTGTGGCTTTACGAAATATTTCATCGCACATTTTGAACGTTCAACCACGGTTACTGAGATTCCATCCTTCATTTCTTTGCATGACTACATTTCCAACATCCCTTACAGGCAGGTTTAACAGAGGGGCCTCATTCGGTTCATAGTTATATGAATGACGGGCTTCCCCCGCGTTCTTACATTGCATGAACTGTGGTCTTCTATCGACGAATCTCAGTCACCTACGTCGTGGAAGCCTGCTCCATACCTAGCCAGAGGTAAGCACTTTCAAGGTTGGGTATACGCAGCTTTCTGCAATGCTCTTCATCTCTTTCCCGCACAACCTACCTAATACTCAGTTATAATACTTGAATGACGCTCGTTGCCTTTGCGAGAGTGATCGGTCCCCCAGTGAAGAGAAGCCTTGCTCCCCCCCCCCATGTCTCAATGACCTTCGGCGGGAGACTGCATAACCACGCATCGATCAGCTAACGCGCTCTTCACAAATCAAGGACCGGCAAGTTCGCTGCCACCCGAGTGGATCATAGCTGAGCCAGCAAACATCACGGAAATCCGTCGGATTTACTGCAGCCTCCCGTCGGTGGCGCATGACCATTCTCACCACCCTGTTTCCCACGGTTCTAAGCTCCGGAAGACACTACTTATTGAGTCAAATGGCCGAGTTCGCATGCGCTTCTTTTTAGTCTGCGTAATTCGAGGGGCTCGCTAGGCCTTTTGTGCTTCATTGCGGGATCCAAATTCTCTAGACGAGCCTTGACGCTGGATTTTGATATCGAGAGAACGCAAGATACTGTGGTCAGCAGCCATTCTACGGCGTGGAACCAGAAAGCCAACTCAGCTTGTAAGTACTGGGCGGCGCGACCTGGTCGTGATTCCGGCTGTAGACCTCCATGCCATTCTGTGATGAGAACGCAATACGAGGCCATTCGAGGGGACCCACGACGGCTCATTCACATCCGAATGCGCAAAGTGCCACCAACCTCTCGAACGATCTACTCGTTCCCTTAGAAGCTGAGACTGAGTGTAGAATAGGGGGCGCAAGTGCCACTCTTCCCAATACCAAGGCATGGCCGCCCGTCGTGCATGTCAGCCACCCCGGATGGCTTCAGATATCTGAAAATCCCTGCAGCCCTCGGCCATCAATCTACAGCCACGGAACGCCATACCAATGAGGCATCGCCGTTGAGTCTTCGCCCCAGTGTTCGACCTTTCAGCTTCCTAGGCAGATATCACGGAGATTTTCCCACGCGAGTTGTACAGCCCTACCTTGGCCAACCTGCGACATGCTGCCGCCACCTGCACCTGATCTACAACCTGCTAGCAATCACCCTCAGTCATCCCTTGCTGGAGTCCTCTTCTTCAGTCCTACACGTAAAGTCGATGGAGGTTGAGGGAGATTGAATGCCTGTCATACTGGTGTAGCGCTCGCAACTCTAGACTGTATAGGTATAATCTCCGTTCCACGCTGCATGTTTCTCTGGTTCCCCAGTGTAGCTGCTGGTTGATTGATTTCCGCCGAGACAACACCAAGGCAAGGACCTATATGACGCGAGTGCGACGGCTACAGACATGGAAAACTGTCTCAACCCGAGAAACAACCGTTTTCGACACGATGCCCAGGTTTCTAGAAGATATTTAGCTACTTACGCGTGATGAATTGCTTTTTCCTCTCAGCCTTCTCAGAAGAGGATTCTTCGACTGAAATAAGATTAGGAGACCAGCCCTCCTACGAATTCCATGTTGGTATCGTAGTCCATACTGAGCCTTGCTGCTCGCGTCGTGGGCAACAAGCTTGTGCGACATCATACAACCGATATACTCTCCTCCGCACACCCGAGGCACCCGAAAGGATTAAGAGTCACTAGAATTTCATCGAGCTGGCATGCAAAGAATAAGGATATGCCCAAGTTGAACAACGAGTACAACGACGCTAGCTCATCCTGGAAGGCATCTCGCGGAAGTCTGACAACGAACCCGTGGGAGCTCGCGTAAGATGGAAATTCATTGGTTCCCGACCCGGTGATACCATGGTCTGTGTTCTTCAACGAACGCCGCCAGAAGATCCCCGGCCCGGTCGTGGTACCCTCGCTACTCTCGTCCCGGGCGAAGTAGCCAGGAAGATGGCTACACCCATCCCATATAAGCTTAGTACTTTAGTCGGCTGGCTGAACGGGCCGTCTTCAAAAAGGACTGCCGATCAAGAGAGGGGGAAAAGGGGGAGATATTGTTGCCGTACCGAGCGTGTATCCTCCGTATGGATGGAATTGCGAATGCTCTCCCCGCCGCGGTGCTTCCTGTTGAGTTTCGTGCGAAGTAGGGCCGTTCGTGACACGGAAGCCTTATAAATGCAGGTCCAATCGCAGAATCTGTGAGCTTCTCGTTCCAGGACCGACCCTCGAACGAAATGAGGTGAGAGACTTTCGGGTGCCATCTCAACGAGCGGAACGTCTTGCGTTGAGAGACTCGAAAAATACGAGCTTGGTGGACGCCGAAATGGAGACCTCTTCTCATGGGAATGTCAGCTTCCACCCCTTGTTGATGCAGAATCTTCAAGCACGCCCATCACGGAGTTAAGATCTCGAAGCCAGTAGAGATTACGGTATCCAAGCCAATAGACTTTTCTTTAGTTTCTATTTGCGGCGGGTTCACGGCCTACCTTACGTCAACTGTCCAAGTCCTGGCTTGCTCTCTCCAACGCGTTGCGGCCAGTCGGGTGCGTGCAGGTTTCTCTTCCAACACTCTCTGCAGGCTGTGCGACGTTGACTACATACGAAGACCACTTTGGTCCGGGAGCGGGCAGATACAGTGCGGTGTAGCCACCACGTTGATGCTTGACCAGTCTCTCCCGACCCCTTGTCCGCCTCTCAATTTCACCGAGCTTCCCGTGCGAGCTGCCCGGTATGTCTAGAAATGGACATGGTATATATCGACGATATGGACGTCTTTCTGTAGATGTGAGCACCTCGTTAAATCTTGCATTTGAGTTCCGTCGACTTGATACCACACATCATCACTCCCACGTTTGCCAAGACCATTGTACACGAAGAGGCTTCTTGACTTCAGCTGAAGCGCACTTGGTAAACTTGGTTTTTGTATCACTTAACCTGAAAAGCCTCTCATCCACGGACTTACACGGCACTATACCTACGGTTACACTCACCAAGACGAGGTAGAAATTCGCCCTGCCGTTCATCACAGCCCTGCTTGACTGGGGTTCATCCATCGACTATGGGAAGGGGGGAAGATGATCATCCAGACCTGGACAAGAAAGAGGAGGCATGGGGAACAGTGGCGAGCAATGTTTCGGATCCGCAGAAGTGCATCGAGGAGTGTCGGACTCACGTCCTAGCAAGAGTGGTACCGGGCTTTAACGGATCAAGGTACAATGAGGTATGCAAGAAGTTACTGTCGGAAGGAGAGGACGCGAAAAACATTTTATGGGAATTATATTGCTGCGACGCGACTGACTGCGGGGTTCGCTGGAGTGAGAAGCTAGAACTGGGGCAGGATCGTGAGTAGAGAGACAGCCTTCATCGTGTGGTCTTATGGCTTCTGACCCTAGCTCAGCCAGCGTAAATATGGTCATTAATGTATGCCAAAGGTGAGTCGTCTTCTTCAAGTCTTGCCATTCCCTACTAACCTCAGAACTCAGTATCATCACACCAGCGATTAAAGACCCAGGCCCTCCCCCAGACGACCGCTTCTGTCCAATATCGTTGAACGGACCATATATCAATTCGGATTCAGTCCCGCGGTACAAGACAGAGTCAAGAGGAGAAGGATCAACACTCACCGACTTCGCGATATTGGCCACGGGCCTATCGGAAGAGATGATACCGACTATCTCATCGATTGTATCATCGACCTCAAAAACGTCGACACACTCAACGAATTCAGCGACAGCAACTCCGACAACCTTTGTTCCACTTGCAAATCAGTCTCAAAGCCACCGACAAGGCGGGCTATCTATAGGAACCAAAGTTGCCATAGGCACGTCGTCTGCCATAGCCTTCCTCGCAATCATGGCCTTCGTGATATGCCTTTTCCGTCGTCGCTCGCAGGACGATTACGACCACAGCCTCAAGAGCGAAATCGGGCATCCCAACCCCCGACCAGACACGTCGCCCACGCCCCTTTCGGGCCACTTGTATGCTATACGCGAAGGCATCCGCTCGCCTTTGACACCTCCACCCCGTCTGCAGCAACGAAGGCTGCTTTCCACCCATGGGAGCCCCGAGAGACCAAGCATCAACATCAACGTCTCCATCCCAGGAACTCCTCTCGGCGCCTCAGTCGAAAAGGCAGGCGGCTTTTCACCGTCCCCTATCTCGCCGGCCTCAACACCTACGCCTTTGGCAAACAGAATCCCTCCGAAATATGACCGCTCCACAAAGCCATACTACGGCGTTTCTCAGCTACCGAATACGTTCGGTGGCGGCGCCGGCCTCCGATCCTCCGGCAAGACGTCGAGCATGAGCAGCGCGGCCAGCAGTCGCACCGCCACCACCGTATCCAACGTCTCAAGCATATTCCCGCACCTCACGCCCTCGTGGCCGATGCGGCCTCCGCGCCCTCATGAGAAGCCGCTACATATACCAGATCTGGTCTGTCCTGGTCCTCCTCCTGCTCGCTCGCTTCCTCCGGCACCTCCTGGGAGTCCCGCGAGTCCCGTGTCATTTCACAAGAAACTGCTACTGCAGCAGCAGCAGAAACGAGGGGATAGTTTCGATAGTGTCAGCGCTGCTGTCAGCAATGGGTGGGTTCCGCCTCGGAATCCTGCCCGGGGCGTGGTATTGGGGAAGGAGTCAAGGGACTTGTGTGAGTTGACAGAGACTTGTGCGAGAGAGTCGCGAGAAAGGAATAGCTGGGGTAGCTGGAGTATAGGAGGCGGTGGAACGGGTGTTGGGACGAGTTCGGTGCAAAAAGGGGGTGGTGTCAATAGTCCAGTGTTGGAGGAGGCGGATCTAGAGAGGATAGGCGGGCGATACTGAGTCTAGGATGTTATCGATAATGATTTGAAATGAATCCAACCTCATTGAGGTGAGTTATATTGGTTCACTGTTGTTGTGCCATGGCGCTGGGAGGTGGACTTCCTAATTTGCGCGTGGTCTGGTCTCGGTCAGCTGGCTGATCGGTAGCTGGGAGGAGATCTCGGCCTGGCGTTGTCAATTGTATTAGATACGTCTTGTTTCCCTGCAATTTTTTATTGAGTTGAGCGTCATCAAAGTTAATACCGAATGGGATGATGGTATAGTGAACATTTCTCATTAGAGGTGAGAGTGAAGCATGATGCTTATTTTGAGTGAGGATCGCCCATCCACGCCACACCCTATCCTAAGTTGATACCCACTGTTTTAAAGCTATTCGCTGAGTTTAAGACTGTAATGCTAGAGTTATCGTATTCTTGTGTTTGAGCCACTGAGCCTGTCACGCTCGTCATGGCCTGTAGCGCCTTAGACATCACGATGCCCTCATTCCACCATATACGACCATACTTGTTGAAAAGTTCGGGATCCCGTCCGCTCTCCCATAGATGAGCTAACAAGGGCAGAATCTGATATCAGCAATTCACGAAAAATAGTATGGGATATCACGCAGGAGTAACATATTGCTTAATTGCGCATATATTCGTATCGTGGTGAGTTCTCTCCAAGCTCCAAGGAGCATCTAGATGTACGGATGTAAACATGAACATTCATACATAACGTTATAGGGAGATAAGTAACGGATGACGCCAACGATGATTACAGATTGAATAGGCATCAATTAGCTGCTTGTACATTCTGCGAAGCTCGGAAGCCGAGTCTAACTTGGGAGTCTTCCGAGCTTCATCACTGCACGGCCAAGAGTGCAACAGTCAAATTCCACACTCGGAGCTGGATTCGACTAGTGTGCTGATGATCCGCTGACAGTTGGCTTCGGTCACCTCAAAGCTCATCGTCGGCCCAGATCGGGACCACGCCGACGGTGGTAAACCCGTTGTTCATAGGAATCGCGGTTATGGGTAGGGTAAAGACGGTACTTCAAAAGCCTTGTCAGCTGTACTTCATCACAGGGACCGTTACCGCAAGCAACTTGCTGGAGCTCACTTACTCGATGTCAGACGTTGCGGTAATGCCCGATCCGGTCGTGGCCGTGGGCTGGGCGTTTGGATCGACCCAGCTGCCGCCTGGGTTGGAGGCGCACACGACAAAGCCGACATATCGTTCGACGTTCTGACAAGACCGGCCGAGCTCCGGGTTCCAGGACACGATCTGGGCCCAGGTAGCCTTTGCCAGGTTCGCAATCGTGGTGCAGGTGTCGTCTGCCTTGACCACGTATGGCTTGCAGACGGCCGCGGTCGGGATGCAGAACGTGCTCCCGGCGGCCGTGGGGAAGTTGAAGCAGTTCGCGACGAGGTTGTTCGCGGCCAGCAGCTGAACTGTGTCGATGCCCTGCTGCTCCGCAACGGTTGGCACGTGTCTCCGGCCTTGATGGTGTACTTTGTCCCGGCGCATGAGGGCGACGCCGGCTGAGCTCCCGTCGAAGCCGTGGCGGGCGTGTCCATGACGCTCACCCAGGCAGGGCTTGCGGACGGGGGAGGTGTGACGTCGACGGTGGTCCTGCAGGACGAGGCGATCATGCTGAGGCCACTCGCCAGGTCGGCGTTTGAGGCCAGGGGGGCCTCGACCTGTGTCTTCATGACAGAGAGAGCGCACTCGTTGCACATCACGCTGGGGTCCGACGAGCCGGTGCGTTGCTAGTTCTCTGGGTTGATGCCGGCAAGCTTTCCGATGACCAGGTTGCAATTCTCACCTGCACTTGTTTTTTGTTTAGGGTGAGTCTTCAGCTTGACGATGCCTCGCCGCTTCTTCTAATGAGAAACATGTGAAATGAAGACAGCATAATACACACCTATACACCAACCCACACACACGAAGAGGGAGATAGATGTACAGAGATAGGTCGAAACCAAAGAAAGGAGAACCTACGCGTTCGTCGCGCACAAGACGTTGAATCTCTCCCAGGCCAGCTCGGCGTCGTAGCCGGCGTGATAGCTGAGCCCATTCTCGTCGTCGGTGTAACGACTAGTCTCGCAGGCGGACTTGACCTCGTCGAGATAGACGCCGAGAGCAGCCCTGCCTGTGGGCGTGCACAGCGAGCTGATCGTGTCACTGTCGTAATAGTAGTTGATCTCAGTCGCCCAGGTCAAAGACTCGTTGCAGTTGATGTCTTGGTTGAGAACGCCGATGCAGGTGTCGTTGAGGCCGGGAGTGCCCGAGGGAATATTGGCGAGGCGGATATCGGCCACGACGCGGTGGGCGAAGACCATGACCAAAGAGGCCACACCCTTGAAATGCTTCATTTTCTTCCTGATTCTGAGTATATCTGATGACGATGGGGGAGGCATCCGCGGCGTGGGAATCGGCCGGTAAGATAATGGATGGATGAAACAAGACGAGAAGGACTCAGTGGTTGGGTGTCGAGCCGGAGTGAACTCGCCCAGCTCGAGGTGCGGCTTTTTGATGCCGAGTCCAGATCGTCTACAAGGTCCAGATTTGCCATGGCCTGAGTATGAACGATAGTGGAGCCATGACCCTGCCGTATTCAAAGAGCTTGATGCCTCGATTAACCTTAACGAGCCGCTGCCGTGCGGGTCTGCTGAGTCGGAAATATCACACTCTTTGAGACTGGTGTACGGAGTACGAATCGTCGTCTTCACCTATCGAGGCATCTCGGATGTCAGCGCAGCTTCGATGGCGGCGATGATGGCGGCGACGACGACGGCAATGGCTCCAGCGGCGGAAGCCCCGCCGTCAACGTGGTCGTCGGATACTTCCAAGCAGATAGCATCACCCGCCGAGGCTGCGCTCAGAGATCCGCCAGCTTCGTCCCGACGGACTCGGTAACGCACGTCAACGCGGCATTTGCGTAGGTCGAGGCCGGGAGCTTCTCCTTGATCCCCGGCTCCAGCACCGGGATCGACCAGCTCAAGCAGCTCACCGCGCTCAAGAGCCAGGCGCATAGGCTTCATATGTGGCTCACGCTCGGAGGATACGACTTTTCAACCGGCTCGCGTCGGGCATCGGATACGGAGGGTATCTTCGCCGACATAGTGAAAACCTCGCAGAGTCGGCAGAAGTTCCTGACTAACCTCGCCTCCTTCATGCAAGAGTTCGCCTTTGACGGCGTCGACATTGACTGGCAATGGCCAGCGGCCGGCGATGAATCCAAAGACTATGCGTTACTGATTCAGGAGATGCGGCTGTATTTCAACTCGCACTCGGCGACGTCGTCGGCCTGGGGTATCTCTTTCACGGCGCCAGTCGAAAAGGAGACTCTCGCGCGTCTCGACCTCGCGACCATGGCGGATGCCGCCAGCTGGATCAACCTCGTCGCCTATGATGCCGACAGCCAGGATCAGAGTGTCACGCGCGCCATGTCGGACCAGAAGTCCATCGAGGCCGCAGTCGACGCGCTGGGCAGCGCCGGCGTCCCGGCGACCAAGATCAACCTCGGCATCGGCTTCTTCGGCCGCTCATACAAGCTGGGCTCGACATCATGCTCCGGAGTCGGATGTGCTGCGGCGGACGCCGGAATCTCGGGACAATACAGCGGGAGACCCGGCTTCATGTCCTACGACGAGATTAGTTCAAACCTTGGTCTCGGCAACAGCAAGGTCGATGAAAGCACCGGCATCAACTACCTGAGGTATGTTTCTTATGTTTCCGCTTGTTCTCGCAGGCCTTCCTACGAAGACCGCGACTCAATCATCAAGAAGGTCAAATACGCTCAAGGCAAGGGGCTTCTTGGACTCGCGGTCTGGTCCATCGACCTAGACGATGACGATCACCACCTGCTGAACGCCACGTTATACCCAGGTGGTCTGGGGAGCTTCGTGTTGACGACGGGCACCGAACAGGCCGACTCATCCAACTACAGCTCGGTAGAGATCAGCTCGTGTGCCTGGTCCGACTGCGGGACGTCGACGAGCCCGTCGTGCCCGCCCGGCCAGCAGGTCCTCATGACCGACCGCTGCAACGTGGCCCCGGGAACGGGAGAGAAGCTCTACAAGGCCTTGTGCTGCCCGCTCGGACAGACCCCCGACCCGTCGACTTGCGACTGGAACCGGGTGGACGGGGGCGACTGCGGCCGGGGCTGCGCCGACGGCCAGGTCCCCATTGCGTCGGACAAATGGCTCATCAATAAGAAAGGGCAAGAGAACTACTGCTTCTTCGGCATGGCGGACTACTGCTGCGCCACCGAGGAGTCGGGCACCGCCGTGTGCGGCTGGGAGAACAAGTGCGTGGCTATCGTGACCAACGGGCTGCACACGTCCAGCACCAACGTCTGCTCGGCAGGCCGCAAGTTCGTCACGTACGCAAAGGACTCGCCTGTCGTCGGCGCATGCAAGGGCGATGAGAAGGTCAACTCCTGGGTCCCTTACTGCTGCGACCAAGACGTCGACGTGTCGTCGTTCAAGTGGTTTGGGGTCGCAGGCACAGCCGGAGACGGCTCCGACAAGTGCAACGACGCGAAGATCTGTCCCCTGGGCAAGACCTCCATCGCCACCTCGTACCTGGGCGCCGGAAAGGACTGCACATACTTCCAGCAAGGGTACGCACTCTGGAGCGCCCAGGCGTTCCCCCGCGACGTCAAGCGCACGTTCTGTGCGGACCCAAACGCACTCCGAAGGGTCATCAAGACTCTCCCGGTGCCGTTGGAGAACATCTTCCCGCACCCGAGACCGGACACGGACGAGCAGAAGTGGCAGGTCGAGCTCGACCCGACCATGGGCGGCGCCGATCCCACCCCCGAGGAGAGCACCAACGCGGACAAGAACTCGTTCGGCTGGTACATCATGTCCGGACCGAGGACCGAGCTCACCTCGCTGGACAAGCGGGACGGATCTCACTGGGAGCTCTTCGACTGCGAGCCGGGCGCGAACCACGAGGGTCGGCAGACCGTCAGGGCCGTGTGTACCGACAGCTCCTACGAGAGCAACTGCGGCGTCATCCACGAGGGCCACGGAGTCGTGGGTACCGTCATCGAGATGCCTGCCGGTTGCGGTCCCGGGAAGTATGCCATGGCCGTATCTCTCGAGCCGTCTCATAACCAGTCGCTTCCTCGCCGTCTGGAGAAGCGAGCGGACGAGCTGGCCGACTTCGACCTCACCTTCGACTACGACTTCCCCCACCCCCCGAAGAAGCGGGCCGGCGGCTCCAAGGTCCTGCTGCGCATCGACTACAGCGACGACCCCGGGTACTGGAGCCACATCGTTGCCGCTGCCCCGACCAAGGTGAAGCGGTCAAGACGGGAGATGGAGGAAGAGGTCCAAGGGACGCACGGCGGGAACTACCACCAGTATCTGTACCACTTGTGGACGGTGGACAAGCGGTCCACGCCGGAGGACGAACTCCACGACCTGCACGCGCGTTGGTTTCCCCAAGTCGGGCGCCATCAAAGACTGGATCGACCGGCTGCACTACGTCGACACCGAGTACGAGCTGGTCAGGCACACGGTCAACGAGCAGTTCCGCTGGAACATCTACGACGAGTCCGTGTCCTGCAACATCAAGGGCGTGGACACGACGGGCTACTTCACCGCGTGGGCGGATCTCAACGTCAACATCCAGTCGTCGGCCCTCGTGACGCTCATCGGAAACCTGCAGGACCTCAACTCCTTCGAAGAGTCCTACGTGCTGTTCCGCAACAGCGGCTCCGTCAAGGCGTCCATCAACGCCGAGGCCCTCGCCCACCTCGAGTTCCTCACGGGCGAGATAGAGCTCTTCGGCCTCGAGAACTTTGGCGGCACCTTCAGCGTGCCCGGCATCGTCACCATCGGTCCCAACTTCCGCGTGCTCGGACAGTTGCAGGGTTCCGCGACGCTGCACGGGACCGCGCGCGCGTCGACCTCACCCTCGCCGAGTGGGATTACACGCAGCAGTACCCCGATGCCAATGGCGGCGCCAGCGCCGGCGCCGTGACCGCGGCCAAGACGCCCAAATCGGCCGGCGTACGCTCGTCGGACCCGCAGTCGGCGCTGCAGGCTGCCAAATTCTACTACGACGTGGACGCATCTGGCGAGTTGACCTCATCGGTGGTGCCAAAGGTCACGCTCGGCATCGTTTTCAACGACGGCTCGGTCTCAGATGCATCTGTAAGTGAAGTGGTTTCCTCGGCCGTCGATAACAACACACCCTCAAGCCCTCGTTCTGTCACTGACTGACTCCTCTCACAGATCGACTTTGGTGTCAATGGTCGAGTGACCTTGTACGGATCCGCTGGCCCCAGCTCCGACTCGGCGTGGCAATACTGCTACGGCGTCAATGGGGATGTTGAGGTTTTTGCCCAACTGAATGCTCCGTAAGTCCTGCGTCTGTTTTCTTTCCGTGAGACGGAGACGAAGTCGCTAACCGCTGTGACTAGAACGCTGTTTGGTAAAAACATCAACACGTATTACCCAGTATGGGGAACTGGATTGGTAGTTCTCCCTCTCTCTCTCTCTCTCCCTCCTTCTTTCTCCCCTTCTCTCTTTCTCTTACTCTTGTTGATGTTCATCCACACCTGTCCGATATGCTGTCTTTTCACCCGCTAACAACGCGTACGAGTTCAGTTCCCCATCGTCCAACAAACCTGCGCCGCAGCCGCTTCGTCGGTCTCGGAGACGACCCCATCGGCCCAGCCGGCCAGGCTGATGAAGCGCGGTGACTTCATCGGATCGCTTATCTGCCCTGTATCGTCATCGGCCTCGGACGACGTGACGCCGTGCCCCTTCTGCTGGGAGTCCTCCGCCACAACTAGCGATGCTAGCAGCAAGATCCGGAAGCGATACGGCTACGTGCTGGAGGAGCGCGCCGACGATGCTTGCCCGTTGTACGCCGACGCGAACAACCCCAGCTGCACCCTTGACGACCTCGCGACCCGCGGCACCATTGTCCGCCGTCTGACCAGCAAGGAGGGTGTGATCGACTACGGCGCCTCCGAGCTCGTGATAAGCTTCGGGAAGTACGCGGACTGCAGTGACGCCAAGACGAGCAGCAACATTCTCAAGTCGATCATCTTCAGCACGTCGGGCCGGCAGTGCAATGCCAACATGTTCAGGAGGGCCACCATCGCCGAGGCCAGAGGCGTCAAGTTGAACACCGACCGCGTCTACGAGGCGCAGACCCTCACCCAATTCTTCATGTGGCTGATGAGAGGGCCCGGCGTGACGGTCGGCAGCTACACCATGCCGACGGTGGAATGGGTGCTGGAGGTGTTGCTGGGTTACGACCTCCCAACGGCCCAACCGTACTCCTTCATCATGAACACGGCGCCTCTGGGCGTGAAAATGGACCCGGCGACGCTGGACATTGTCTTGATCTGGGGTTTCGGGCGCTCCGATGGCGTCGGCCCCTCGCCCTTCACCAAAGCACGCGGCGAGTCCCACCTGGTGCTCGTCGACGAAGCTGTCAACTCGAACAAGGGCAAGTCCATGAGGCAGCAAAACCCAAGAGTGGTACCCGAAGCGCAAAAGGTGAACTCGTACCGGACTACATTTCGCGAGGTCTTTGGCGTTTTTGAGTACCTCCGGTGGTCGCCCCCGAGCGGCACGGGTGGCTCGGGTCCTTTCCCCGTCGTCGAAGAACCCGTGTGGAACAAGTGGATGCGGGTGTCCAACTGGTTCGACCTGGTGCTTTGGGAGTTAGTTTGACAACCAGTACGCCGGACACTGGAACGAAAGGGCCGGGGCTCCCGTGAACAGCCTGGGCAGCCTGGGCAGCCCTTCGCTCCGCGCCCTCTATGCTCGATTTATTGAGGATTCCCTCCTGGGCATTGAGGAGATGGCCGCTCTCAAGAGCAGCGAGGCCAAGACCGCCTACGAGGCAAAAATTCAAGGGCGTCAACGCCTTTAAAAACGTGGTGTGGAGCAATACCGACGACCCGAATTGGTTCAACGCCGCGTTCGGCGCCGGAGGCTGGGCCAGTACGGCCGCCGCCAGGTTTCCGGGCCCGGGATCCGGCGGCACGGGATGGTCCATTTTCGGCGCCACCGGAAATCCCACTAAGACCATCAACGGGAAAGGCGTCGCGGTCAACATTGGTGCACCGGCTCGCATATAGGCCGCGGTGTCGTTGTTCTTCTGGTCCGGCGGTTGATGGTGGGATGGCTCCTTGGCGAGAGTGGTTCTTATTTGTGTATATTTCACAAACATTTATTCTGATAGCTGCCTTTTTGTAAACTATACCCTTTAAGTATGTAGAGAAAAGAGAGGAACGGCGTAGACAGATATACACATGAGTCTGGAATCTACATTTGACGAGTCAACTTTGACAGCACGTGGAACATTTGCAGACTGGAACAAATGGGTTGAGTAAGCTCCCAAGGCCTGTGTTTCTCCTTGACCTTCTAAAATCCTTCCGACCGGTCAAGCGTGAAGAAGCGTGCCCGGCTCTTCCGAAAGTACCAAGTTCTAGGCTAGCGACTCTGCCCGACAGTAAAGGCGAGCACAGGGTCTATATAGTCTGCATCGGCAAGTCCACTCCATCATCTGCTCCTCGTTCACGAGCCTTCTCTCTTTCAAAATCGAATACGCCGTCGGGGATGAAATGCTCATAGAGAACATTTACCCCATATGAGTTGGAAATCAACGCCGACTGACCCATCATCTCAAACGCGACCTTGAGCCAGACGATAGGCTCCGCTTCGTCGTCCTCGTTCTCATCGCGAAGGCGCCAGCTGACCTCCAGCCCTCTTCCGTACGAGCTGCTATCAGGCCTCTCCGCCCTGTTGAAGTCCAGGTCCCGTGGGTCGCGTAGGAGAGGGGGTGTCCAGGCGAGCGTTTCCTGCCAGCGAGTAGGCCCGGGCGGGTTTTTGGCTTCATCCTCAAGCCTGTCGACAATAACGATGTGACGGGTGTAGTAGAGGCCGTTGAACATTTCTGGGAGGTACCACGATACCGCCTCCGCCCTACCCGGAATATCCAGACGGCTCTGAACTTCCCGCTCGTGATGGTTTATGCAAGCGGCGGCGTGCTGAAGGCAGTGTGCGTCCTGGGGATCTCGCAACCCCTCCTGGCAACATGGAGGGCAAGAGTACCCACGTGACGTAAACTGGCTGCCGGTGTCTACATCTACGTCGCATTGGAGCAGGCACAGACGAAACCGTGGCTTGCCTCACGAATTGTAGCTGTCATCTTCCCCGTACTCTTCTGCTTCTTCCTTGACATCATCCAACATCACCGACCACAACACCATTACTGTCCGTACCAAGTCTTTCTTATCTCGACAGAAACACCCCCAACGAGCCAACCCAGTTTCAGCCCGAGGACGACGGAAGACTCGCCGAATTACCCAGAACAGGTTTGGTTCCAACTTCCAGCATGCTATCAACATACCATGGCAGCCAGCCGTTGGGGCCAAGTAGCGGTACAATCGTGACTTCGTCCTCACCAAACCATAGGAATTGCAAAGTTTGTTTTGCTTTTTCAGCAACAGCTCTTCTCGTGTCCAGAAGCGACAAGTGATAGGTCAGCAGACATGAAGAGACATCATTGAGACAAATCAACTAATACCAAGCGGCTTGAAAGGTCTGGCCCGGGGCCAAAAAAAAGCAAACATTGGACAAGCAATCACCAACGCCAGATCACCGCTGTCGTGGCACAGTGTCGATCTAGAAGATACATACGGGCATTATTTCTTTTTCCACAACCAACCACCATCTCAACGAGCAACGGTCCCCGGCCTGTCAGATTCCCATGGTACGATTCTGTGGCTCCGGACGGTTGGCAACGGTTTTCGTCAGTTTGACAACACCTTGTTCAGACCGGTCCGGCAACTTCCCCGTGGTGACCCGAAGCAGCAGTGGTGACAACGTCGGGATGGCTGCTGAACCGCGTCCGGTCTGCCACCGGGATCACACCTCCTTGCATCCAGAAATCCGACAGCTCGTCTCCCAACGACACAGATCGTTGGCACCGAGGAGGTGCGGTTGATCTGCTAGCCTCTGCGACCGGGGTTCTTGACAAGCAAACACACCTATCATGAGCACCTGTCTTTCATCACATGGAAGAGGTTCTTTTTTTTCTTCTCATATCTAATCCACAAGTCGCAACTTGGAACTGCAATCGACTCTGACCCGCTCCCATCGGCATCAGGTTTGCTTACGCACTGCAAGATTGGCTCGATCGCCACCAAAGATGAGCCCTGTTGGACGGTAATCTGCAACCATGGTACTGAACCGATCAAACTCAACATCCGACAGACACCTCGCGTATTTCATACTGGGCAGCCAATCGACAGATCCCCAGCTCATGGTTTTGCTTTTTCTGACTACCCAGTGGCAAGGATATCCGGAAGCGAACAGGCTAATGTGTTCCAGATATTTGGTCAGATCTCAATTCTCCACCCTCACTCATCAAGGAATGAAGTGCACACGACAAGTGAAGTTTGAGAGACAACAACCTCTCAATTCTTCTCGTCACATCTTATATGGCCTGTCGCAGAGCCTAATATATATATACCCCCTGCAACCCGAGTAAAACATACCCACGCAACACTGCACTCGACCGTAAAGACACGCTGGGCGTAAGACGGCTTTGGAGAGGACATTCACTTCTTCTGCAAGATCCTGCAGGAGGATCTGTTTCCTTTGCATCTGCAATGCATCATGGGAGTGTCGCCGTCATGGTCTTGCTTCTTTCTGCAAGGAGTGGACTTTGATTGAATGGGCTCATCAAGCACGATCGGCCAGGGTAAAACGAGAAACATCGCCATTGGAGCCCCAACACACATCACGGGTCCTGCAAGCCCTTGTCTAAGAAACTTTGCTTCCTGCCCACAAGTATGGACCAGAGCCATCTAAAAACACTTGAAAAGCAAAATCTCAACACAGCATGGTGGACCTCGTCGTTTCTTTGGCGGCTGTGAGAGGTGGTGACCGACTAGCACGTATCGACATGCACAACCAACAGGTCTCTGTTCATGGTCATCGCACGATGCAATATGCAGATGCGTCTACAGACGAGACACTCATGCGACTGTCTTGCCAAATTGGGGGGTTTTCCTACTAGGGAGAATGGACAAGCAAAGACAGAGTCAAGATCTTCATCAATTTGCTTCTGCAGGCTCTTTTCCATACTACCAAGAGGACTTTCCCCGCCTCCAGCTACGTTATTCAGTATTCACATGTCCTTGATTGACCCATCAAGCGGGTTCAGCACTCTGTTGGGGGTCACCGGACTTCCCTCTGATGATGATCGGCATGCTCCGGCTCGGCAACACGGCGTGAGGTCGGTCTTGGCTGGATCCGCCGGCCGAATCAGCCGGGAGCCCGGGAGCCCGGGAGCCCGGGAGCCCACTGCAGAACAGTTCTGTTCAGGACTGGATATCACACTACTCCCCGGAACCATGTCAACCGATTGAGTCGTAGTGTTCTTCGGATCAGTCAGCCTGTGAGGACCATGATTTGGTCTAGTCTTCGGTGGGCTCGGGCGATCGGAAACCTACACAGCAACCCCCCCCCCCTTCTGCAACTTGGGATGAAGCTGTCTCACGGTGCATCTCATACCCGAGTTGTTGCATTAGGCAGTGTCAGCTTCGCCCAAGAAATCATCGGCTTAAACTCGATGACAGACCCGTCAAACAACTTTTGTCATGACCAACAAGCTTCTCATGCGGGTTTTCCCTGGACCAATCTGCCTCCAGAATCGGCTCCTAAGGAGTTCGCCAAGCGTCACAGTTCGTTGGCCGTAGTCTCAATGGGGAAGTGAGCTGAGCTCTTCAGATCTGGCACCGGAAAGTAAACCGCCACTAAAATGTTTCCCAGAGGTGTTTGACCTGAGACGGACCCGTCCGAAACGGCTAACGACCTCTTCCAGAGAACTTCCCACGACTATTTTGTCATCGTTTCCTGTCTTACCAACTCGTTCGGAACTTAGCTCGCGAAAGTCTCGACTCAGCTCCTTCACCCAGACCAGCCTAGTGCATTCTGCGCATAATTGCAATTGATAATGATGGGCGACGTTAGAGATGACGCAGTCACGCCGGACTTCACTCTAACAGATTAGCTCTTCCAGTCATATCTGCAGCTGCGGCAATGTGCTTGACTGGCATTCACCACAAGCTTCGAAAATTGGCCATGGAATCCCTGACGCGGTCAATAAGAACCAGGCAAAAGGAATTCGGGATTGCATTCATGTCCGCGTCGAGCCCGAGTTTGCCGGACTCAGTCGAAAGCTGTCTAAAAGCTCGGCCGAGTGTCTTCATGTGAGCAATCAAGCGATCGGAAGGCATATCCATGGAGCAAGCACAGCAACATGGTGCGGTTAGGTTCCACTTCATCGTCAAGCTTGGCGAGGATATTGACTCGGATGATAGCCTCCACGAGGAGACCCCAGGGCGCCGTCGTCGGAGTGGTATTTCAGCAGGGCCGTCCTGAGCCTCTCACGATGAGCAAAGTCGGCTTGTTACGTTATGGAACCTCGATGATCCAGGTACAAGCAGTTTGCAGAACGGAGGTACGGGTACATGGCGAGTCTGGCCAAGTGTAGCGTATCGTTATGGCTACGATGGCCCGGCTAGGCAGGTGGCTGAGATGCTCATCTACCGCAACAGCCGTGAGCATGGACGTAGGAAAGGCCCCCCAACGTCCAGGCTGTCGAGCCCCTCACGGCGACGAAAACCATCACGAGGTTACTAGTAGTGTATGGGGCATCACGGTGGACATTCGTCCCTGTAAGCAGGGCATTTCATAGCAACCGATGCCGCTAGGAGATCTGCTCTTAGCACGTCGATCATCTGCCGCCCAGCGAGGCTTTGTCGTCACTTACCCAAGAGACGACTTACAAACGCTGTGACACTCGAGATTGCGTCAATTCCCGTCTTATAACAGACAAGTACAAGCAGGGGCGTCGTGGGTGGGATGATTCGCTGTTTGGCTGACACGTGAAATTGTTGTGCAGGGCATAACGGATAGACTGGAATGCTGATCTCGACAACAACAACAACAACAACAACAACATCATTTGAGCTGGTCAGAGTGAGACACCGGATCAAGGCACAAATCAGAGCTGCAGGTACAGGATATTGCAGAGAAGGGATTGCCTGTCTCCAGCTGGTCAACTCAAAGGGCGCCTAGGTAGGCCTCTGCCGGCCGGAGAAAACCTAGGCTCTCCCAGCCCTCATTGGGGACGAGGATCCCTTGAGTCAGGAACCTTGCCAGGGGCCTGGATATTCGCAGGGAGCTTGCTTGCTGAAGATTTTCATGGTGGTTTCGGGCCACTCTGCGACTCGTGTGCTCGACACCGGAAGACAATGATTTGCAACCACTTGGGGGAAGTCTAAGACTCAACCTGAAGCGGTTTTCCTACGCGTCAATTCGCCGTCATTTTGGCCAGCAGCCGATCGTCAGCAGACGTCTAGCTTCGGAGACAGAATCGCCATATCCGGTGGACTGCGCCGAAGCGAGACGATTATGGCGGAAGTTGCCTTGATCGTGATGCCATACGGCACTCAGAGTTCGCCCTCACATGAAAGCCGCCCGCGGCTGCACAAAGTTGCATTATGGCAGGCTGCCTGACACCACATCTTGACCAACCGAAGCAACACACCATACCATTGGAGTGCGTTAGACACTGAGCCCTTGACACCGGGAAGCCTTCCGGACACGTGGGATCTTGTGGGGTGTGCCCTCCTTCACCTTCAAAGTAACGTCAGGACGGGTGGGTGGCCAGGGCAAGCGTCCCACCCTCCTTGCCTCCCTTCTTCCCCACTCCCCCCTCCTCCAAACCTACTCCGTAGTCCGTACAGATACTGACAACAAGTTCTACGGAAAGATACTCCAATAAGTCTAGCCAGCTGTGCTAGCATCAGTTCGACAAAGGAGCCGTTCTCCAAACTCTGAGACATTGACGGATAGCCCACGAATCCACTGCGGAATTACCACAAGCTCTTCACAGTCGGTGAAGGACAGCCTTCTAACTACCCCGGGAGGCCGGGGTGCGGTGCGGGTCTTGCAAGCTGGGGCGTTTCTGAGACCATGCAGTGGTCAGTCTCCGTATGTGAATTTTGGAGCAATGTCACTAGACCCATGGTTGATGTTCACACCTGGTCGATTATCTTCGGATATGCAAGACAACAACAAAAACCTAGTTGTTGACCATCCAGACGTTGCTATTTTGGCTCCGCAGGATCCCCCTTGGACGACCTGGGATGTTTGCTGAAGCTCCTGGTCTGCAGTGCTGCACTACTTGGCAAGTCGACAAGGGGGTGTCAACGAAACACGCTTTCAACAACCTAGCACATGCACGAGGCTCAAAACAGACAGCTACCCAGGTCAACTCTGAATACCGAGACAGCTTGTCGCCAGAAGCGCCCTGCGTATGGCCTCCCCTTGATGATGTAAATTGCACAACGGGTCTTAAGCCCACAGGGATTTCACTAATGCTACTGACTGCCGCCAAATGACTCGAAGATGGTAACCTAACAGCGCCGCAGTAATGCCAGGAAGGAGTTAGTGTTCAGTCAGTAAGCAGCCAACGACAATCGTTGTACACCGCTAGAGGGGGATGGGAATCTCCTTGCTTCCGTTTCGACTAGATTTTTATTTTTGGGGGATTGAGCTAATCACGATAATTGGCAAAGCTAACCTTGGAGCGAGCTATTGCTACCAATGCTATGCAAAACTGACAGCTGCTTTACCGGGTTCTAGCTAAGACAAACATCTTCGCACCGGTTTCAGGCACCGGTGAAGAAGAGCTGGCAGCGTAAGGCTGTGGAAATTGCGTTGGATAATCGATCTAAAAAGCCACGCCAGGAGTGGCGGCATTGTCCCCGAACTGCCAATCCTAGACCCCCCCCGCGAAAAGTCATTCCAACATTACTGACAAAGGTTGCGAGAGGAGGCAAAAGAGGCTGTGAGTTTCGCTTTCCGCATGAATATCCAATACTTTACAGCGAGAGGGTTCGGAAGATTTCTTGGTTAGACTCGGGTGTTGCATGGATTGAGCTTGCGGCATAAACGCTAACTGTGACGACGTTTTTTCGGAGCTTATTTTGGCCGGTTGTGGGCGAGACATGGATGAGATCTGCAACAAAATGCTCGTCAGATTCACAACGTCCACCATCTCGACCTCAGGTACGTAGCCAAAGCATTTTTTGCCTTCTAGTCCAAAGTCGTTGAAGCGTCTCCAACGAAGTCTTTTGGCAGCCCTAGGAAAACGGCCATGGCTTTTGGAAAACCATATGAAGGACTTTGAGCTGAGACACGCAGTGCCCACGGACGAAGGGTAGTGTCTAACACACTCCCTGCGACGCACAGTCTTCCGGCGAACAGACGTGCTGCGATGGTAAGCCGGGTGTGCTCCATCTACGCCCAGCAGCTGAGTGTGGCTATGGGTTGACCTGTGGCCGTTCTCCCTCTCTGCTCGACGGCCAACAACTGCAAGCGATGAGAGGAATCTAATGAACGGTGTCAGTGAGAGAGAGAGAGAGAGAGAGAGAGAGATAGGGATTCCCGTCATCAGTTTACCAGCGTCGTGTCCGAGCCATCCGGTTTCGTAGAGAAACGAAAAGAGGGGGAATGACAAGACGAACATGAGGCCGAACACGCCTGGCTGGCTAGATCGTTGCCCTCCCCCCGCATGGCTTGCGAGCGTTCCTGGCACTCTCTTGTGCCAAACTGCGCCTCTCCCAAAACCTAGCTCGCACGGGCGCTTTCATCTCACGCTTCCGGCAGATACGATATCCTCACCACTGATCAGTATCGGTCGGTTAAGCCTATTTCAGGTTTCCACAGGTTGCTGTGGGGGTCCAGGGTCCAGGGTCCTCGAGCGTTGCAGAAGGGGGCATATTCGTCGAAGCCGGCAGGAGAGATACCTCGTCTTCAGGGTGATCAACGCAGATGATGGGCAGAGCTATGTGAAAGCCTGCAGCAATGGTTGGGAAAAAGCTTGGCCCTATGTCGGTCCGGCTCCTGTCAGCACACCTACGTTTTTTGCCCAGCCCTAGTGCTAGTATCGACTTTTTTGGCTCGGGGGAGCCAAAACCTCACCCCCATTATCAAATTCATCCCTATCACCGGATATCGGCACCGGTGCTCGCTGCCTCGCCCTGCCTCGACGGAGCCAAGTTGCGGTTTTGCCAAACGAACCATGACCGAGCGGTCTGCACCTACCGGACGAATTCGTGCAGCGGCATTAGTCGGACGAGCTAACGCGAGCTCTAGTGTCCCCTCACGCAAACCCGAAGGCGGCACCCCTTTGGCGTCAAGCCTTGCGCACTACTCGGGAGACATTATAGGACGTATCCGAATGATTCCCAAAAGGCCTAGCGAAACCTGCCTAATCGACACTAAGAGAATAAGCAAGGAGAAGAGCAAGGGGCACAGAGAGAGAGAGAGAGAGAGAGAGAGAGAAGGTTTAAAAATGGAGAAGAAAAGCAACCACTTGGCGATACGTACTCATCACCATCCAGCATACCGACCGACGCTAACCATCGTAGATCAAGGCACGAAGAGGGCGTATCTGTAATAGCTGGATGAACAAGCACAGACAATGACGGCTGGTGAAACCATCCTGCCTCGTGTTGCCGGTTGTCGTTGTTGTTTTTCCTCAGCTCTCATCTTTTTTTGTATAAGCAACAAAACAAAGAAGGCAGCAGGATTAGGATCATCCATGACCAGCTGTGAACCGGGGTCATGACTTGGTTGAGTATGCAAGTCCAGCCTCCCCGTACCGTAGGTTAGAGAAGGGAGCAGTCGCAGCAGGCCTTGACGCTCACACATCGGATGTTGGGAGAGAGAGAGAGAGAGAGAGAGGAACGGCGGGCCCAGAACACCAGGAACAAAAGGAAAAAGACGACTAACAAGATTTGAGTTGTGAGTAATTAGGTACTGCTACTGCGCCTTGCGGGTTTTGCGGAGTCAGCTCTCGTACAATAGCTTCGGATGAGGGAGGCGATAACTTGAGTCGTGCAACGACAATCGCCGCTCCGCCGGTTCTTCCGGCATGCGGAGCTGGGCAGAAGTTGAGGAGATTTGCAACGTCGCGCGAACTCCGGTGACGTTCGAAAAGGGTCACGTTCGCGATTCAAGAAGGCCAATTTTCTTCTCCTAGTTAAGAAAATCTTTTTGCCTATTCTGGGACCTTTGCCATTGATGGCAACATCGCCGTTAGCTGCAACTCCCCCGGGGGCCCCTATTTTTGTTCTAATTGTCGATTATCTCCATCTTCATCTTCATCTCCATCGCCCGTTCGCCCCCCATCCATCTCCGTTCGGTCGAGCTACACTAAACGTTGCGGTCGGCCGATATGCATCCACGTTTTCCCACGTTTTCCTCTTTTCCCCTTCTGAGGTGGTCCCTCAGCCCGCCCGCTCCGTGCCTACGGAGCACCACCGTCTGAGCGATTTTTGGTCACGCCGTCTTTCCGTAGCTTCGCCATTGTGGCTTTCCGATAGGGGAACATGGTGCAAAGTAGGCAAGATAGAATAAGAGGGGGGGGGGCGTCGTACTAGTCGTGGTTCGTCAGATTCCGCGCGCGCGCGCGCGAGAGAGAGAGAGAGAGAGAGAGAGCGCGCGCGCTCCTACGCTGTACCTTACCTTACGCACAGGTGCAAAATAGGGGAAAAGAGAGGCTAGAGGGGGAACCACTTGGTGTCGTCTCACGATCTTCTGCCGCCGGCAAGACCCTGCCAAAAGACCATCCAGGTTGAAGGGTACAAATATACTTTTTCAGCTGGGTATTTCGTTATTTTCTCGTGATGGGCGTGGGTAAGGATTACGGCATATCTGGATGAATTATTCGGAGTATTTCGTCATAGTCCTAGTAAAGAAATTTGGTCACCATCTATACCCGATTCATCATCATGGATCATCTACGAAAATACCTACTCCTTTCTTTAACTTACTTACCCTTACCGCCTGCTTTTCTCCCATCATCAGTGATCAACCACCACCCCGTGAGCTATCCGGGGCGGGAACCCACTCCGATGGGGAGTCCCTCCCCCTTCGGCGCTCGTGCCCCGTCGACCCGCGTTCTCGCCCGCAGTCGTCCGCAGTCGAACCCGCGTGGGGGAGCTATGTACGCTGTACGGTAACGTAAAAAAACCGTCCCTGCGAATCTTCGGTCTTGGCAAAGCAGGGCCTGAAGTTCGGTCGAGCGTGGGGTTTAGGTAGGTAAAAATTCGTGATCCAGCCCGTTGATCCAGACCTCACTTTTGCGAATTTCGCGATTCCATTTTCCCTCGGAGTTATTCAGGACGTGGGGAGTGACAGAGAAAAGGGGTCCAAGAGGGAGAAAGAAAAGATCACTGCCTGTTTAGGGGGAGATGGACATGGGGAGGAAGGGATCTAGGGTTGGAGTGAGAGCATTTTACCTCATAGCTAAGCTTTTGGAACTCGTAAGATGGCACGATGGGATAAGGCGCAGATTGACATGGAGTGTTGGTGATCGACCGGTAGTCCCAGGTGGGGGAGAAGAGAGGACAGGCTGACAGCGAGAGAGGAGACAACAAAGGAAAAGAGAGTTTGGATCTATCTTTGGACTAGAACCATGGATGACGTATATCGTGACTCCGTGAGTGGTAAGTAAGTTTGGTGCTTACTTGGTTCGACTGTCTGGTTCGCCTGTTTCGTTTTTGATATTGGCTCTGGTTCCCTTGGTTCTCACAGGTTTTCAGGCCCAGAAGGGCCGAGCAAATACTCCCTCTGTACTTTGTAGAGCTATACAGGTGAAGATCACGGAAGTTGCGAGCTGAAAATGTGAAATGTTGATTTACCGCAGGGAGGGGGCGTGTATAGAGACGATACGAACGGACTTTACGGAGCACGGAGGTGGAAGAAGGGAAGTCCAGAGAGAATAGAGACACGGGGGGGGGGAGGAGGAGGAGGAGGAAGATCCATCGAACGATCCATGAAAAACTAGGCATCTCAGGTGGCACGGAGATGTTCACAAAGGGAACAGGCATTGTGCTGGTCAAGGGCCAAGAGCGGGAGAGAACAGGAAAATTGTGATGATGAAGCACGGAGGGGAAACAATGGCACGGTAGTCCGGTAGGGCATAAACGGCGCAGGAAGGCAAGGACAGAAGACGAACGAGACCGAGGAGGGCGAAGCGTTCCTGTCACAATTCGTCACAAAAGTAGTTTACAACTTTGAACCCAAGATCCAGAAAGACCGATATAGTTTTGCTATTGCTTCCTGTCGAATGCCCGTTGATGGGACGACCGAAAAGGACCAAGTTACGAAAAAAAATAAAAAAATACAAGGGCCGCGCGCGCTGCCTGATGTGTTGAACAAGTTCGTCAACGAACGCAAGTTCATTGCTTTGATGCTGTCAAGAACGGGCTGATATTGGGAGGGAGTGTGGGAGTTTGATTCGATGTTTTCCTCGCGGTCGAGCAGGAAGGTGATGGAAGCCCACGTAATCTGTGCCTCACGTCTCTCTCTCTCTCTCTCTCTCTCTCTCTCTCTCTCTCTCTCTCTCTCACACACACACACACACACACATCTCACGCTCAGTCCTCTTCACATATCCGTGTGTATCCCGTAAGGTGATTTCCACTTCACTCACAAAGTAGGTGTAGGTGTGTGTGAAGTCGGCAAGGTATATTGTTTGGCGTCAGAGTCACCACATCGCGTTCGGCGCCGCACGTACAAAGTAGTACGTGCAGTAGTAAGGCAGTTCCCTCCTCACACCCCAGCTTAGTGGCAAGCTAGATCTAATCTTGCCAACCAAACGGAAGATCCATCTCTTGTTCGTCGTTCTGTTCCTGGTTTTTGAGTCTGAGAGCGAGACCTCTCTGTCTGAGCCCATGCGGCTCGTTCCTTCGTTCGTTTCTTCTTTTTCTCGCGCCTTCATTCACGCGAACACCAGGAACGAGCGCAGCCCGCTCTCGCTCGAGCGCTCGAACGAAACGCCATGTTCGCGCGCGGGACGGGACAAGAAACGAGAAGGAAAGAGAAAAAGAAACTGGAATTTTTGGAACAGACACTGCCACATGGACTTCCCCAGATCGGAGGCGGCGGGAAGCAAAAGAACGGCAAGATACGTTTGTTTGTTGTCACCGGAAGCTTTGCTTCTGTTCTGTGCGTAAAATCAAAAAGTAAACTGTGAATGAATTGTCCGTGACGCCACGCCCATCAAGGCAAACACACGGCCATTATCGTCCTTCGTCGTAACGTAGTAGTCGTCATCAAATCCCCAGCCGCTTCCATTCTGGCTGGCCTTGCCCCCAACGTACGTTCGGTCTTGTCATCGCCGTCAAGGCAACCACAGACACACACATACGCACATACACTCACGCTCACGGGTGAACTGTTCAACACCGGCACCACGGTGACCACCACCATCTAGCGTGGCGCGAACAGACGGCGTTCGTTCGCAGCCAACGGTCTTCCCCCGAGCGAGCGGTCCCGGGACCTAGGGCACGGCATCGCCAACACCAACACCGTGAAAGGTGTGAACGGGGGAAAAAAAAAGGTTCAGACTAAGACCCGAGAGCTTTCCCCAGGAAACGTGTTGTGTTGCCCACTGACCTCTGAGATCTGGACGTCCGTCCCTCGTAAACCGCACCTATTCTGTATGTTGTGCTCTGCTCTGTTTGTTTTGTTTCCATCTGGACAATGAAAGGCATAAACAAATCAACACTCTTTTGTGACGAACGCTTCCCCATGAACCCGTTGTCCTGACGTTGTCAACCCGCACCCGGCCGGCGGCCACGTTGCTTCCCGTTCGCTCTCGGATACATGGAGAGAGATCTTGCTTCTACCCGTAGTCAATCTGTCTCACAGACACACTTTCGTCTGGTGAAGTCTTGCTTCGTTTGCGCCAAGATAGTAGCGGAAGCATGAAAGAAGAGTTCGTGCGACACCCGGCTCGGTGAATATCGATTACTTCCGTTCGATGGCATAGAATACCGGAAGGATCTAGTGGAAAGAGGGCGGGGGAAACTTCGATAAAATCGCCGAATATGAGCAAGACTAGTGGACTGGCGGACTATGCAAGCCATTGTCATGTGCAGAGAATCTTGGATCGGGGGTTTGATGTCGACAGGCAGCTGGAATCTGTCATCCTTCTGTTTCAGTGACTTTGCTACTTCTCCAAAGTATTGCGGACGCTCATCTGCCGGTCTAGAGAAGCAGCCGAGAAGAAGAATAAGCAATTATTTGGGAGGAGGCGAAAGGAGGGTCAAGAAAAGGTCCAACCGGACGTCATACCGTGCGCGCATGCTCGATCTGCAAAGGGACAGACCTCTTTGCATGCGTCTCGCGACACAACCTGCATGTAACTACCAAGAAACGTGAGAGAGCAAAATACCGATGAATGAGTGAGGAGACTTTTCCAAGTCTTGTTGCGAGTCGAGCGGCAGATGGGGGTTTCTTTGAAGATGCCTCTTCAATCGCTGCTCTCGCTCTCATATCTGGTGTTTGCAAGGAGGTTGTGTAAGAGAGTTCGACCAATGGCGTCGCTCTCGCGGCTTCCGGAGAGTTTACCCATCCTGTGTCGGCGAGAAAGCGTTTATCGCACCCGTTCTTGGGCAAAAAATGGGCAAAAAAAGGACTAGCCGACGGCAGGCAGGCGTCGATCACGACACTACCGGGACAAGTCTGAGAGAGAGAGAGAGAGAGAGAGAGAGAGCAAAACCCCTCGCAAACTGGCTAGCGGAATGCGGAGGAAGCTGCAGTAGTCAAAGAGCAGCCATTACTGTGTACCTGCTCGCGACCCTGTTTCGACGATTTCAACGTTGGACGTTCGGCTCATTCGATGCTGTTCCGGAGCCTGCACACACAAACTCTCTTGAGAGCCCAGCCCTTCGCGGCCACCAGCGTGCGGCATCCGGACCCAGTGTTCGTCTGTAAGGATGAAAGAATTTTCTCCTCCCTCTCTCGGAGGCAAGGAGGACACAGCGCGACAGGCATCGTTTGTGTGCCTAGACATGACATCAACGCACATTGACAAAGTGACTGGTCGATGTCCGGCCCAAAGAGAACCCACCATCGTCCCACGACGTCCGTCCGGGACTCGGAAGACCGACCACCAGGTTTGCCTGCAAACACCACAGCAGTCAGTGCAGGTGTCCGCAGGCAGGAACCAACATCAATCCGTCATGGTCACTCCGCCTCGTGAAAATCCGTAGGCCTGGGGAGGATGCAGTGGGATTTGAATCTCATGTTGGCTCAACTGACACATCGGACGACGTCTGCCGTGGCACACACGCCGCGGGGGGGGGGCTCAAGCGAGACACGCAGCGGACAGCGTCATTATTCTGACCGACAGACCATTGTGACAAGTCGTGAGTTGTTAGGAAATAACTCCGGCGCCGCGCCACAGATTCGCCATGCCGGGCACCGTAAAGGCATGCAGCAGCAGCATGGTGATTGTACGGTTGTGGTTCGCGTGCATGCTGGCCCAGTCGACGACCCCTCCCGAAAGGTTCTCCTCGGCCGACCGATGCACCTTTCCTGCCAGATTGTTCGACGTACATTCCGATCAAGTGACGGCCGTTGCATGGTCGATAGGACCATTGTTCCATGCTGTTGGAACCCCATCGCACCAGAAAGTTTGTCATATTTTCCCCTTGCGATTCGACTTGCAGAAAATCATCATCCGTCGTAACTCATGCGAGATTGAGAGGCCTCGGGGAAGGCGAACCCCTTTCGCGGTAACAATGCCTTTCGTAGTAATAAGTCGGAGGGGGCAGGAAATGGACTCTCTTGACCGACCCGCCCAGTCGAGCGCTTTGACTCCTTATTTCGGGCGCGGCATGAGTCTTTTTGATCAGTCAGTCTCGTCCGCAAGCTGTCGGTTTTACGTCGAAGATAGAGAGTTCCTGCGAACCCCTGGCACGCCGCTACCAGACTCAATCCAACGTGTTGATATCCAAAGGCCAAGGGTGGAGTGCCCGATGCTGGTTCCAACGAGAGCCGGAGCTTGCCCGTATGGTCAAAGGAGGAGAAACCCCTTTGTGATGGCAGACCTTCAGTCTCGTACAATGGCATCTGCAAGCGATAGGTCCAACTTAATCTTCATTGGGAAGCGCCCTGGAGTAATCCCAGGCTTCGCAGCATTATCGATAAGTCGGCAGTTGCCATTCAAAATGACATGACCGAGCATTCATGCCTCTTTGCCCGTGTTGATATTCTGACCTGCCCCGCTTTGCCCCGCTTTGCCCTGCTGCGAACGCCTGCAGGACATGACTGGGAACCGTTGTACTTATGCGTAAAGCACAGTATGGCCAGCGAGGTTTCTCCTGGTAAGGAAGCCAGTCAGTCGCTTTTACCGTCGTCTTTTCTCCGATAGGCTTGATGCTTGATGGTGTATCCGTACTGTTCAGCGTCGACATGGACTCCAAGTCTCCAAAGAGTCTAACTTTGTTAGCAATTCTTCTCCGGATGGCGTAAACTCAGAGTGGGGGGTTCAAAGTGTCTCATGATGACTCGGCACCCGATATATCCTAACACCCCTCCCCCTGCAGTTAAAAAGATGCAGGTTGTAGTTATCGGACGTGAATTAATAATCGCGACGTGATATAGCCGTATTCCACGGCACGTAATCTTATCGTCCTTCATACCACCTTGGCCCCGCCTCTGCAAGACGACGTTGACGTTGATCATGTCAATACAAGCGCTTTCTTGTTTGGATTCCGCTAGCGCGCCTCTTGGGTAGTCAAAATCAAGCGGCGGGTTGGCATTGTCCAGTTGTGACGGCCCTTTGGCAGCCATTGGGTACGAAGTAGGATCTCTCCCACCTACAGCACATTCTCATGCGACTGAAGCTTGCGAGAATCGCGTTATCCATGTCGGTACAACGTACAGAGGCGAGAAAGTCCCCGCGGAACACATCCGGCCAGAGTGGGTGCTTGTCCGCCCTTGAAGATGTTTCAATCTTTACGGATACACACACGTCAACTCCCTGACCAATGGGCGATCCGCGTTTGATTTCCGCTTGACAGCTGGGGCCTCTGTGGCCAGTTTGATTTTGCACCCGTCAAGATTTGTAGCAGTGTAGCAGTGCAGTGTAGTCGAGCAGTGGTGTATCCGTACGGTATTTGTGTCTCCTGGATAATTGATCCTTCTCGGCTCAGGCTTTTGCGGCGTCCAATTCTTGGCAGCCTTGGGCCGCGGCTCATGTTCTTGGAGCTGAAACCGTGGACATCTCCATCCGTTCTGGTTAACCGCGTCGTGGCCTGGCCCCAGCATCGACAGCAACCTTGGGGGCTTCATCGTCGAAACCAAGTTGAGGCTCAAGACGATCAGTCTTGCGGGACGGCAAGACTGAACCCGGATCCTCATACTTGATCAATGCGCCAGAGGCTCTCGTCCAGGGTCCCTTTCACCCCCCTGCGCAACTCGTCTCATACGCGGTTGACGCCATACTTGTTTATTATGGGCCTTGCAATACCAGAGTGTCCAGTCTGGACGTGCTGTCCCGAACCTTAGTCTCGACTTTATCCGCGAGAATCGACGCGAATTTGCCCAGCAGGCGTGCGCCTGATCGACTTGCCAAGCAGTCGATAGCCCAATGCAACTGTAAAATTTGGCATAGGCGGGCAAAGATGAGGGCCATGATCGGTCAGCTGCCGAACGATGTGATGAGATGTGACCCCCATCGATCCGCGTATGAACTAGTTTGGCCTAGAGTTGTATTGTAGCCGCGAGGCGGTCATGATGTATTTTCCATTGATAACAGTGTCGCAGTACACTGTAAGGGCAACAACCAAGGCTCAAAGCCGCCAAAACCTGGCTGCCCCTCCTCACGCTGGCCCTGGCTTGCGCGCCTCGACAGCTTCGGGCCTGGGCTAGAACGCTCGTTCCTGACTAGGAGCTAGTGTGCGGGGGACGGAGGACCCTTTCAGATCACTGGCCAGTGAGAGAAGCAGTGAGAGCGCCCCTGGGTTAGGGATCGTCCTCCCCCAGCCTCCTCGAACACCATCCCATCCCATCATCCCCTGTGTCTCTGTCGTGGGTCACCTCGACTTCAGTCTCTCAGCGTTACTTCGCGCTGTCTGCGATGGCCGTACGTACCGTTTCGGACGTCTTGAACCCGCTGAGTTCCCCCGCGTCTGTTCAGATGTGTGTTTGACTCGGCCGTGGAGCTATCTCTCTGCTATCTGGGGTGTCTTCGGAGATTGTGCTGTGCATATCATGACGGCTCTTGTGTTGACGGCTCTTGTGTTGATGGCGTTAGGAGCATCAAGCCCATGTGGATGATTAGCCACCGGAGCTCCATTCGAGCCACGCTACGACAGTGAGGATAGCCTATGTTAGTATCCGTAGCCCACTGGAGCGAGGTAGCTAAAGAAATCCATTGAATGCGCTGCCTACCGAGTCGGGACTCAGTGCCAGACGTCTCTTGGCATTGATGATTTGCACACTTGCCGGCCCGATACTTGCGAGAGTTGCCATTGACAGCGTATTAGTTCGAGTACGGGGATGAAAGTCAGGGAGTACAGTAGGGACTGGCGTGGGAATGAGGGGTCTTCGTATCTTTCGGGTTCCATCGATGATACATCGGCCGCGTTAGACAAGGCTCACCGGCCTGTAACGCCCGTGGTGTAGTGGAAGCAGCCGCCCTTAGGCAGGGCGTCTGAGACAGAAGAGCGTAATTGTGCCGCTGAACCGCCTCGGGTTTTTTTTTTTGGCACACGATGCCGGCCCTGGGCTGTTTCTCAAAGAGATCATCAACCTGCGTAGTGTTGCAGAGGCGGAGACCATGGGGTAGATTCCTGCTTCCTAAGCAGACGTGTTTGGGCTTCCACTAGTGCATCTCGGCCTGCAGCGCCGTTCCCTAGTAGTGATACTGTGGAAACCAGCTCTCACTCTCGTCGAGACACTACGACACCGCTAGCGGAGGGTCGCGTAGACAACGAGTCAGTTGCGACTGTGGACTTGGAAGAACTCTGCGGAGGAGAACCACCAATGTCCCCGGGGCTGGCCCCCGGGCTGACATGAGTTCAGGCACGCGGCGTGTGAAGGACGGCGACGGAAGAGGCACGATATGGTGCGGACTTGCGAGTCGCAGTTCGCATCTCGCAACCGAGCTGCAGTTATCACCGTTGTATTTTCCAACTTGACACCCATCCAAGGTAACACGGTGAACCTGGAATTTAGTGGTCGGTGGCAGGCCTTGTGTGTCAGTCGCCCAGCGTGCTCAGGCCACAATTTCCACAGCAAGAAGAAACACACACCGGGCAGGGCATGCTGCGCTGTTTGCTGCAATGACGGCAAAGCCCGCTGTCAGGTCAGGCGAGAGCGGCGGTCAATGGATCCGGTTGGAAATGAGGGCGGATCATGACAGGCATTGCCTGCCTCGCCGGGGTGAGAAGACGATTCTTCAGGTGACGACCTGAAGCAAGCCATATACGGATAGCAAGCCTTGACCGATGAGGCCGGGGCAGGGTCCGGCAAGGCTTGTCGATGGTGCAAGCTGAGTGGTTTCTGACTTCTGAGTCTTGACAGCCAGAGGCTCGAGACGAACAGGCCCAGCACCGGAGTCGGATGCGAGATTCGAAATGAAGGCAAAGAACTGGGTCGCGGCTGACAATAGGAGGCAAATAGACGTTCGGCAAGGTACTGTGTAAGGTATTCTGTCTCCGTCCGGCTGTCAGCCCCCTTCCAGAGACCCGAAGGAATGGAACTGCGCGGCACAGGTGAGCAGAGAAAGCCAAGTCGGGCCTGGTGTGTCCCCTGGGGGCCGTTGCTCACTGCTTGCTGCCCGTCGACATGGGCTCAGGGCTGGCACGCCGCACAAGGGCAGCTTGCTTGCTTGATGGCCGTGGCGTGGGATGATGCAGCGGTTTCCATTGGCTTGGGATTGGTGTTGCCCGGTTGGCAGCCATTATCCCTTGCCATTGGATAAGACCTCGTCCACAACCGGCATCGGAAATTTCCCTCATCCTCTGCCCAGACACGTCAGGTTCCCAGCTCGAGGGAGCCAGCAAAACAGACTGACCAATGAAATACCCGTGTGTCGCTCTATTGGGACATGGCTTGTTTGGTTGTGTGTTGCCCACGAGAGCTCCCCCTAATCTGTAGCTTTGCAACGGTTGTGGTCGACGTCACCACTACTCGAGACCAAGCACAACGGCTCAAGCACACCAATCGTTACCAGTGTCTTCGTTGGAAGCCAATATCCAACCGTTGCTCGGCCATCAATAGACAGCTCTGGTTGGCGTGCTTTGTCGTTATAAAAGGCGATCCCTTGGTTTAGGCAAGCCCTTGCACCCTCCTGGCTTGCGACGTTCCGACGGCTTGTCACACTCACAACTCGCTTCTGACCAAGAATGCCCACAAGTGAGTGACTTGGGCAATGTTCAACTGCCGCAAGCCCACAAATCTGTTCTCGTTCATCGTGCCAACTCCAAATTGCTCTGTTTCGCCGGTTGCCAAATCCACCGTCAGTCTCGGAACATCGCGGCATTGTGTAGTTCAATATCGCCGTGCCCGTAATTCGAAATCTGTTGCTGTACGCGCTTCAATAGGAATTAACCAGGGAGTGCCCCGGCTCCACGCCCCAGCCAGTCTGGAAAAAGGCACCGTCCTGTCCCACTGCCTGCCGGCCACGGGCATACTTACATGTCGTGCGTTGAAGCCAAATATGCTTGCCATGACGCTCTTTCTGAGGTAGTTAGAAATCTGTAATCCTTGAACCATGAACACTACCCTGCCAGTCTGTGGCCGTAGCGCTGGAGACATGAGTGCCTATCCTTGCGAGAGGTTCATGTTTTATCCACAGACGAGGTCATGTCGAGGAAAAGAATACCTATCTCCAGCAGTTCCTTCCGTCCATCCTCGTCAACGAGTATCCGTACAATATTCAACACGGCCGAGGGAAGTGGGCATCGAAAATCGAAACCCCCACATGCAGTCCAACGTTGCCCTGGGATAGCTTGGTATTTCCAGGACCGGGTCGTATTGAATAGGAAGAAATGCCACGGCGGATACCAAGAGCAGGCAAAAAAGGCCAAGGGGGTTGCTGTCAACGTTTGATGTGCACTCACGGATGAAATAAGCCTGGGCCAATTGCTGAACTTGTCTGTCGAGGACCAAGGCCCACCAGCCTAAAAGAATTGGCACTCTTGAATTGCTGAGGGGTTTCCCGGGATGGTGTCGTCGACTGTATGAAGATCTCTTTGAAGCCAGTTTGGACGACATGCTGGGCCGCCGTATTTCGGTGCCGGTCTCTTTCACAGTCCGTCTGACGAGACTGCGGGCTTGATCCTTGATGCCTTGGTTCTGCGGCCGCCAATATGCTCTAGCGGCTGTCCAAACCCGAAATATTCAAACCTTTTTCTTCTTTGATGACATGCCGGCAACGAGCGATTCAACGAAGATTCATCCGGTAACTAGGATAGAGGTTCGCACTCGGCTTTGGAGTTTGAGGTTATTGTTTGACTGTTCATTGCGATATTGACGTTGAGTTTTCGTGCAGTCAGGCCAATCCCAGTGAAGTGAGGCCGCGAGTTGTTTGTTTGAGAAGGAATCTTCAGGTACAGCCACGGACCACACAAAAGAAAAAACCCAGGCATGCCTGCGGCCTGCGCTGGCCGGCGATCCAGGTTTCATCAGCGTATATTCCATTCTTCTGCCCACACAAACCCACAGAGACTCCGACTAAGGCGAGGACACGGTGTCGGCATATCGTGAGAGAAAGGGTTGTGATTGTCCTCTTGGTTCTTGTCGGGTCTTTCTTTGTATGCAATATGACGGGTTTCTCCCAACCCTCCCCCAATCATTTCTCTGGACAATTCCCAGTCGTCTGGTATTCAGGTTGACCAGCACGCCAGATACAGCTTCGAGAAGACTGGATCTCGTTAGACCCAGTGTATTCTTCTTTCTCAATCTTCTTCAGGTCCTTGTCTCCGGATCGTGGCGGCGAAAATTGGAGCAAGTCCGATGCGTCCGTGTCCAAATTCCCCATCCCGAACAAGGATTGTCTTCGGTGCTGGGTGGCTCGCTCTGGAAACAACGGCTCGATATAACAGCCGGTAATTCGGCCTCAGCCTCGAGAATACGCGGCGAAGGAGCAATCTAGTCCAGCCGAAGCGTGGAAGATTTGAATATGCTTTTCCCCCATTCCGTGTCTCTAATACGGAGACTCTTTAATCGACGAGAGACATGTAATGCTTTCGTCTGATACTCCAATTATCATGGGCCACCCCCATATGTACTAAGCGGTGGCACGTGAGTGCTTTGGGTGCTTTCGAGGTATTCGTACGGATATCTCTTCAGCCCCTCGACAAGTCATACCCTGCCTTGGGTTCCAACTCGCATCGCGAGTCACACACCCTGCATCGCGATATTTGCATCTCTTGGAGCTCACAAACTCTGTGAGCACTCTCTCTTCATCCGGGGCCTGCTTTCGTAATTATCGCCTCAGTCTCGCAGGGAGACTCAAGCAACGAACCTCGGTTTGGCAAAATCTGGGACACCCCCAGGTGAGAGTGTTGTATATCTCATGAACGACCCTGCAAGAAGATGATATGAAATCACCCCCTTGGCCAATCAGTAATTGACTGGGTTCCGTATTCATGCATATGGTGATGAGGGAGACGCAGAAAGATGGAGGCAGGTACGAGTAGACGTGTCAGTTGTGTGACTGAGCGTAGCTGCAAGCTTTGCCCCATGGATTCCACTCGCCGCTTGGCTATTATTCTTCATATCGGCCCCTATCAGATGCTTGGGACCGCACGTCCGTTGCGACGGACGTGTATCCGTATGGTCTCTCCGTATGATGCTGGAAAGATCTCCCACGAGGGTTGTCCAGATTCGTGCGAGGGTAGAGCGGGCATGCTGCCGTAGAGGTTATCCCAGAGCATCGCGGCAGACGAAAATTGGCGTGATAGCTTGGGGGGTTCAGGGCGGTGACGAGCTAGTCGTTGGCAGGGTCGTATAGCAGAGGACGTGCGCCGCAGGAGCAGTCCAGGCCCCCTGGGTGATAGACTTGGGATGGGTGGAAGACGATCTCTGCGGAAGCAGAATTCCAGAGCCTGAGTTGGCGGAGGCCTGGATGAGATATGGATACACCCACAGGCAGACCTGGGTCCCTCGAACACTCCAACAAGTGAGATCCACGGTAGAGAAGGGGTGTTCCCTTCCAGACGGAAGGAACAAAGATGACTGGCAGCAGGGCCTACCAACATCGAAATGCTGGGCAACGCAAAGGGCTGGTCTGGTCCGAACTGAAGCGGTGCCGAGCGAACTCCTCGAGCACTGTTGCCGATTTCAAAGTACATCCGTAATAGCCCGTTACGCAGATGATTGTGCCCGAGGAATGTAGAGTCTCTAGTCAAGACCCGAGACCTAAACGAAGCTTGCAGTTTGCGACGCCGTTAGTCTATTTTGAAATGAAAGAGAGTGTGAAACGGTCAGTCGAATGCGTGTGGCTGACGCCGATGCTGATGGGGCACCGGCTTCGCTGCGTGAAAGCTATTGGTCGAGCCAGTCGTTCCTGCATAGGGGCGGAACCTGCATGAAGGTACGGATACCCCTATATTTGGTGAGTGCTAAGGTTCCTCGCCCCCCGGACAATGGCGGGCCTCTGGAGCTCGTGGAAGATGAATTCCAGCTCGGCGCAACCGTGATTACCAGGTGAAGATTCTTCATCCCGTCATTATATTGCGGAATACGGTCAGTATCCCATGTCTACTCTGCAATGATGGCATGATAAGTTGATCCTGAATCTGGACGGATATGCGACAAGTCGGTGGGCGGAGGCAAGAATTAGAACACGGTTGACGATGATCCGTAAAAATGGCCCAAGGGGAAGGCCAGAAAGCTGCATGCAAAGGGCTGCCGGGCCGCATTGCGCGCGCTGTGGAGAATATACCGTTTTCTGAAAGGTTGCCTGTTCTCGCTCTTCGTGTGAGGCAACGCAGGCGACAGGTGAAATTCAACGGTTCAATCAACAGACATTGCTTCTGGAGACCAGGACTAGGTCCGGCGATGAACTGATGATTCCGATATGGCGATCCTTGGGCAATTGGTTCCCCAGACGGGTGCAGCAACTCCTTGCTATGGTTCGGGTCGACATGAACGGCGTAAAGTTTGCTGTTGAGACCGGGTGTCGGAGTTGCGTCCACCTCAAGCTAATGCACGCCCTTTCACACAGTAGAGGCGAACGCATGGTCTGTGGTAGTGGCCGTCGCAGATCGGGCAGTTCTTCGATAGCAGTGCAAAGCCACAGTTGCACTCTACGTGTGTGACTGATGTGATGTTTGAGAGGTGATTGACAAATTCCATGTCATGTGTGTGATGGCAAATGTTGTCGAGACATCTCGGACAGTGGAAACGTGAAGGATCCATGGCGAGCAGCGAATACCGGCGCCATTGGAACATGTATCGTGCCTATAGAGCCAAGAAGCATGTGAGGTTTGTTGGGATCTGCTCTTATCGGGCGTGAATAGATGGACAGGTGCCAGGTACCACGCATTGCCGTACTCTACAAGTAGACCATGTAAAACTGTCGCATATACGCATGTCGGTTGGAAGAGACAGTCGTGGAGTCTAGAAGAGAGGGGTATAGATCCGAGTCGAGAGCGAGTAGTCGGGGAGGTCTGTTCGCGGCTCCCGTTCCCCAAGACCGATCGGGATGTGCGTGGCGTCAAGTTCGAGGGATCAATTTTCTGCTCGCCACGTTCCTGGTCTCTGACGATGATAGTGAGAGAGCTAACCATGACGGGGCGCTACAGCCGAGATGACGAACGGAGAGCATTCGCCTTCGTTGGCAGCGTCGACGACTTTCAAGTGGACATTGGTTGACTCGTTCTTGGTGGTGTTTGGCCAGGCGGTGTCCGTATCTTGGGCATCTCGGATGATGGATCATTGTCTGTCACTAGCGGGTCTGGTTATTTTCAGGACACGGCACGGCACAGTGGTGGGCCTCGCCAATGCAGTGAACAGACAGTCATCAAAGTCAGAGAGGGATGGTCTGCGGTCTGCCCCGAGCAGAGGGAGAGAGGATGGTGTCCGCATCGGTTACGGAGATGGTGGTATTGGTGGTGGTGGTGGTGGTGGTGTGTGAGGTTGTCGAGTAGTGTTCATTGTTGGGGAATCCGGTCGTTCCCATCACGTTGGTGGCCTCTGGGAAGAAGCCGCTGGTTGCCTGCTCAATGCAGGAAGAGGATGAGGGGGGTTCTGTGGCAAGCACTGCCTTGGGAAGCTGCGTCTAACAGGATTCCTACCTCAGGTAGCGCAGGCCTAGTCAAACCTGCGCGGAATACGGAGTAAGAACACATCCTTCCTCTTAGCTTGACAATGGCCGGGGATGCCTCCACTGAGAGTAGTCGCGACGGCTTACATCTCTTTCCTAATTTGCCTGTGTACAGAATGTAAGGCAGGTGTCGAGCCCGTTTAGGTAAGTAGGCCCAAGAGGCCTGACATGACGAGACGTATCTATCCGTACCGTATCTTAGGTAATAAGGTAGCTTGTTACTCCGTACTTACTCTAGGTATCTGCACAGCTCACAGTACGTACCTTACTCACAGAAATGTCCCGGAGGTAAGGTAAGTCAGCAGGTGATGAAAATGACGGGACTCAACGACGAGAAACTTGAACATGTCCATAAAAAAGATACGTCCCGTTTCGGCTCCGTTTCAGATCAAGTGATTCTACGGGGTCTGCTCATTGGCCCGCCGGATTCTGGAACGAGTGGGAGCTCCCCGGTGCTCCGCCCCAGTTCCCCCCGACTGCAGTCTGCACTCTGCAGCATCTCTCACGCAGACGAGCCACAAATCTTCAAGCTCGCAAGCAGGCCAGCGGTGGCTGGGAAAGTCAAGGGGGGGACGGGACCCCAAGTGCAATCATCGTGATGATAGACAGGTTAGTACGGACACTAACTTCCTTCTTGGATTTCCTATTTTATTCTTCCAAACGAATAGGGCCATCCATAACAAGGCCACCAGGCACTAGAGTCCACGGAAGAAAGAAGACCAATCCATCATCCATCCAGGTCATTTCACAAAGACTAAGTCAACCCAACTCCGGTGCAGCTAGACCGCCAGGCTTCCAGCTCCTCTCTCGAGCTGAGGTGCTGTTTTACACTAGCAGCAGCCACATGTGGCTTTCGAAGGCCGAACCTAGAATAGGCCCCATGTTTTATCCCGGACGATCATCACTCCCACGTGAGGGCCGGTGGCTAACGTCTTCTCCGGTTCCTTTTATTTTGCTTGCTCATGATGCTCCTCTTCGTCATTTGGGACTTGATCCTAGGCCCCACGATGATCCTGTCAACTCTTGACCCGAACAATTGCCACCAAGACTGAAACGAAAGGTAGCGATGATTGGCATTTCACGATGATTCAAACCCCGTTTGTAATAAGTGGCAAGTCTAGCAGGTGTTGATGGTGTGAGCCAGCCACACCAACCTGCATCCAGGATGCTCAAGTAAGGTCGAGCCACTAATATTCTACACAGGCATCATTGTATACACATTTTACCTAGGTGATGGTGTGTATGTGTGTGTGTGTGTGTGTGTGTGTGTCTGTCTGTGATGCCGCATGTTCTTACCGCACCTATCGCCTAATCCGAGTGAGCATGAAGCCGTGTGTCTAGCAGTCTGAGTTGGTGCTGTTTTACTTGAAAGTGTGGCAATTGCGCACACTATGCCCCTCATTGCGGATGAAGTTGAAGGGACCTGCCCCTTGTGGCGTGACGACTTCCATCAACTCGAGTCACCAGACCAGACCGCAAGACGGCATTTCCCGTTGCGGACTACTCGCTGTATATCAACCACAACTAAGATTCTCAGGCACCAGAGTCCGAAGAGTAGGCGTTGATTTGAGCCTTGCTGTCTTGTCTGCGTTCTGGGCGTTTGATGTGGTAGCCGGAGCAATTGCCATGCGACGCAAAATCAAGGAACTGCGCCAGTGGGACATGTTTAGCACCTGCAGTAGTTCCCCCTCATGGACTTGTTACCCCATCGGGATGGCATGGACGTGACCGAGGCACACCTCGCCCGGTCCAATTGTCGAATTGCGTAAGAAAGTGGTACGAGACTACCGTACAGTGTTTGTTCAGCAACGACCCTAGACGATGGATTCCTTTTGAGTCTAGCCATTTTCTCCACGGGTTCTTTACCTGTTTTGACAAGAGGCTGGCGAACGTACGGATAGGGTACGGCGGAATGACCGCTAGGAATTTAGGAGACTTTTTTTTTATCCGCACTGGATTGTGTGATCCGAAGAGACTGGCTTGCATGATAGCCACTTGCAAGTACTTCGCAGGTGAGTCTGCGAAGTGGGCTGTCTCTACCGGTTGACGAGCTGCGATTTGCTTGTCAGATTCGTTATAGTATACGGAGTACAGAATTCGGGACTGAAGATTGGACGCAAATGGTGATTGAGTCCATGTAGAATGCAACCCCCACAATCGGCCGGTGGCACGGGCAGGAAGCCAGCCAGGCACGCCCAACACATCAGAACAGGGCCAGGAAACAAGCACAGGCAGGCCAGGCATGTCAGCCACGTTTCGTCAGCATCTTGGTCGCAGATCACTCACTTGCGACTCAATGAAGTGACACTTTTTCTCTGGTCCCCCCCTTTTTTCCAACTCTCTTCGTCCCTGGACCGAGAGGGAGGAAGCGGCGCGGGTCTGTGCGAAATGTTAGAGGCAAGCCATAAACTGGAGAAGGCGAAGTGGTGGTGGATGATAGTTTCAGCCCACAAGCCATGGAGACGGGACGGGAATAGGTGGATGGGGGAGAAGAAGTGGCCAATCACCGCGTGGTAAGAGGTACAGTATTGAGCCAGAGTTGGACGTAATGTGGTTGAAAAACTCGACTATCTGACGATACATGATGCAGGTAGACAATCGAGAGGGGCTCTTGGTAGCGTTCGGGAATTTCTTGTCTGATCTGAGAGGGTCCAGGGGCATGGCATGCAATGTGGAGGATTGCTGCTGCTGCACAGCGCCACATGAGGAGAGCCACAAGTGGCGTCTGCAGATTATCACAAAGACGGTCAAGAGGATTGTAGAGGAAGTAGTAACACAAGCTAGCCCACCTGCATTTGTTTCGAACCAAAGATTGACAAGATTTGGTTCAGTGACACTCTGAGGGCTTTTTCTGGTGATGCGAGTCGACGAAATATTTTGTAGATGCGTGGAGGCGTTGCAGTCTTCAAAACATGTGGGGTCGATTGGAGGACGATCATTTGCTCAGTCAGATTTGGGGGTGGTGGGAAGGCGTGGGAAAGCGTGGGAGGGTTGGGGTTGCCCGAGGGCGGTGAGGCAGCGAGGTGAGAGGTGCAATGAGCAATGTGCTCTTGCCGTGCTTGCCTCAATGATGGCCGCCTTGCTGCAAGGAACCGAGGGAAGAGAGACACTGGCCCTCTTCGGCCCAATGTGGGGCAGGAACGACATTGATCACCAATGGGTTGACCACTAAGAAGAGGGTAGGCACGGCTCAGGGACGGGTCATTGCGGAGAAGTCGCGAGGCACAACAGGGCAAGAGCGAAAAAGGCAAGAGGGAAAAGGAAGGCATGTAAGTCAGACCTCTCTCCCACCGGCACTCGAAGAAAACGTGGCAGATCTTGTGATGACGATGGCGTTTCTGTTGATGCAGGTGGTTCCCGAAAGATATCTTTCAGAAGACTGGAAGCAACGACACACGGAAGGATACGAAATAGTAAAAGGGAGTAGCATTGTCACCGTCAAGCGCAAGGCTCTTGTAGGTGCGGTTAAGATAATGAAGCCGTGCCTTCCCTCCACGGCGTCAAGAGGCGGTGACTTCCTACCTGCCTTGGGTTCCTTGCAGCGCAGCCATTTCGGAGCAAGAAGGCAAGAACGTTGATGGGGGCCTTGCTGAGGGAAGGAGTTGACTCAGTCTTGTAGTGTCATGAGCCACATGCAAATATCAACAACGTCCATCTTATTGGATTTACATCTTTAATCCCGGAGGAAAAACGATACACATACACCACAGGAAACACAAGTGACGACCATGATGCTTGTCTTCCCCCCTCCATTGCCACGTTTTCTTTGGCCCCAAAACATATTTGCAAGCCGCCAAATCCCTGGCTCCTTTCCCGTGTCTAGACCGACTTGCCCTCCCGCTTCCCGCCTCCACCCGTCAACACGCAACCGTCAACGAACATCGCGAACTTCGTAGAGCGGCAATATTTCGTACACAACCGACGACGCTCAACATCGGCCCCTCCGCCCGTGCACCTTCTTGTGCCCACCGCTCTTTACGTCTCCAACTCAATTGATCGACAACCCTTTTCATTACGCATAAGGGTACCATCCCAGGGACAGCTATCCCACCCCACCCCACCTACTCGCCCTCGGGTCTTCACCGTGTTGTTGACGATGGAGTGGGAGAGCATATTTTCTCGCACTGAAGTCTGAAGCTACCAGGTTGTCAAGCGATGCGTGTTACAGTACACTTCACCATCTACGGATACACTCCACTTCGTCGCCTAGTACACACCCTTCTCGAGGAAAGGCCGCTTCGTCTACTTCGCTATCGGGCTGTG